TTATCATCAACTGACTTGAATAACTCGCGCTCAGTGTAACATATCATCAAGTCGTTGAACCATTCGTTGTTGATCTTGCTACGCAATTTATTCTTGATAATCTTCATTGCTGAAAATGCTCTCTCAACAGATGCTTGTATACCAATAAGCTTGTATACCAATGGAAATACCAGATTTTTCTTAGTTTCAACCATCTTCATGGCCAAACTTTGAACATCATCACAAGTAGAAAAATAAGCATGCCTTTTCACTTGACTTATAGTATAAGTGAGGAGCTGCTCTCTTATTGTTCCACGATCATCATTAGAGAAGTCTTCATGATAAATTTCAGCAAGACGAGCAAGTTTATCAACATTGAACTTGGAGAAGGAGTCCTTGGGGTCAAGACATGAGAAGCAATCAAGCACACAATTTGCTCCTTCACTAAAGCGGTGCTCCATCTCCACACAAATTCTATCAATAGCAACATAAAAAATCTCTGCACGGTAATGGTGAAGATTAGTAACAGTTCTCCTTTCTCTCCTTGAACGACCACGAACTGGTATTACTTCGTCCATATTTGGTACTAGAATACTATTAGCACCAGAAAATTCTTGGACATCACCAAATAAATTATCCTAACCACTCTCTCTGAACGTTGCCAACCGATCCTTGACATCATTAACTAATTCCATGGCAAGAACAATATTGAGATCTTTTCTTTGCAAGACTTTTGAAAGCTCATTTGTGATGCCAAATAACTTCAACATAAGCTTCAGAATGAAAGCTCTCCATTTTTTCTATCAAACCTGCTGCTTGAGATGGTCCACGTCCATATTCATGTACTTTACTAAGCACCTTTAACACGGAGGACCACATCTGATCCAAACGAAGTAAGGTAGTATGATGTGAACCCCATCTTGTATCCCCCGGTCTAGCAAGAGTAGATGATTGGTGCAAGCCCCTTCCAGTAGATATCTCACCACTCTCAAGTCTATCCAGAATATCTTGGTGTTGTGCCTCGGTCAATGCATCCCTTCTCTTGCAAGATGTTGTTGTTGTAGTCACAATCAAGGAGATGTACTCAAAGAAATCATGAATAGATGAGCAACTACTAGCAACAGACACAACCACCAATTGCAGACGGTGAGCATAGCAATGAACATAGAAAGCATAGGGGTTTTCATCTATGATCTTTTTCTGCAAACCATTAAATTCACCTCTCATATTTGAAGCCCCATCATATCCTTGACCCCGTATCCATGAAATTGATAACTTATAATGATCAAGAATGCCATAAAGAGCATCCTTTAGTGACTCAGACGTCGTATCTTTGAGATGATGCAAAGCTAGGAATCTTTCCACAACCCTCCCTTTGTCATTCAAAAACCTATAGAAAAACACAATAATGTCAGTTGGTTGCATAGAGAATAAATGACAAACAAACAACAAAATAAAAGTGAAACTAGTAACCTAAACATCACAGCCATTTGCTCTTTCACAGATATATCACGTGATTCATCAATAAGCACTGAGAATTGTTTGTCACCAAGCTCTGCCATGATCTTCTTTCTAACTTCATGTGCACAACACATTGCAAGCTCCTTTTGAATGTCACCAGATGTCATTGTGCAATTTCTGCCACCACGGTTAAAGGCATCTCTGACTTGTTCATTCTTAGTTTTTTTCCAAATCTATCATCTCTCTAAAGTTTCCCTTGTTTAGAGAAGTATCTGATTCATCATGTCCGCGAAATGCCAAGCCTTGTGCAATGAGATATCTTGAACAACTTACAAAACAAGTTAAACAAATCCTATACATTTCTTCTGATTCCTTGCTTGATCTAGCAAAGTTAATTGCCACACTTTGTCTTTGATTATTATAATCATCATAATGCTTGATGCAAGAGTTGTGCTTACTACCATGACCACCAATATGATCTTTGAAACCTTTAGATGCATGCTTCCAATCTGTAAATCATTCTTTGCTGAAGACTTCATAACCAAAGTGCTCGGCTCTTCCGGGTTGCTTAAAGAGAAAACAATAAAAACAATAAGCTGCATTCTTCCACTCACTGTATTCTATCCAGTCGTACCTTTTGTACCAAGATTTGGAAAATGCTCTTGAGGAACGCGAACTTCCAAATTCAGTACGATGGTATTTATTCAAATCTTGTTGCGTTGGACCCTTCAATATATATGCTCTCCTCACTTGGTCTTGAATATCAGGAGGATACACACAAATTTGTTTCCTCTTTCCCGGATCGCGCTCAATCGCATTTGGATTAAATTCATTGGCAACGTTTGGCGCTGGTGGCTCTACTTCTATTTCAGGCTGCGCATCATTCACATTTTCAGTCCTTTACTCTACTTCTACTTCAGGTTGCACATCATTCATATTTTCAGTCCTTGCTCTCTTAACCAAAAACCTCCTCATCTCTGAAATTTAGTGAGTAAAAAAATCTGAAGTTAGATTTTACACAAATAAGAATATGGATTAATCACAAGTTCATAGTACAGTACAATAAAAAAGCTACTTGCATCAACTACATGTATCAGATTATAAAGTATTTCTTGATGTTGCCAAACTAAAGTGAAATCGGTGAAACATTTCTTAAAATTACTAGAGGAAAGAGTCTACAACCTGCATACTAGTTTGTCAGTCTAATTAACTTACAGTTTCTGTGGTTTCCAACAGCTAACAAATAGATTTTCTCTTTGGACTATGGTCATAATCATCCCCAATCAAAAGTTCCTAAATAAGCCCTAAGTACATCAATCTCATTATCTCAACCCAAATCAGTTATTAAGTACGCGATCTTACCGGAAGTCGAAGAAAAGGAACTGCCTCAGCATTCAGGAGAGGAAGGGCCAAAGGAGGGGACGACCGTGGCCACTGCCGGCTCACCGTCGGCCTGCCGCTCGCCCAGCCCCAGATAGCCGCCTCGCCGCCTCGCCTTCAAGTCCCTGCTGCACTTGGGAGAAACCAAAGAGATGCAAGTACGCGAGAAGCCGAGAAGGCAAGAACTGTCTGGGCTCTGGAGCGATCGATGGTATTCCCTGTTGCCTCGTGGGCTGGAGCGAAGCGATCGATGGTATTCTTTTTTTTAGTGGGCTGGAGTGATCGGGACGTTCAAGTAAATAACTGGGCTGGGCTGTGAAGGAGGCCTAATCCAGTTTTGCCAGGGTAAATCCACTCCGTATCCAGCGGTTTTACATATTGTGGTACGACCACTGTTGCCGTCGGAGTGCCAGCGAGCCCGGTCAACTGCCCAGGGTCGCTGGGCGCTCGCTCCGCCACTGACTGCATGTGCGTTACTTATCACAGAAGCAAAACGATGCCTCTCATGGAAGGAAAAAAAAGAGAAAATATGTTTTTTTTTTCGTTTCCGAGAGGCACGGCCATGCTTCTCTTGGAAGCAAAACCACGCCTCTCGCGGAAGCAAAACCGTGCCTCTCATGAATGAAAAATAAAAGATAAACCACGTTTTATCATTTTCGAGAGGCATTGCCATGCCTCTCGCGGAAGCAAAACTGTGCCTCTCTCACGAAAAAAAGAGAGAAAACACGTTTTTTCCGTTTTCAAGAGGCACAGAGTTTTTCCAGGCAATTTTTTTTCTCAAAAACTAAGAAAGACAGGTGAAAAACTGAAAAGCCGAAAAACCATGAGAAAACCATCTAAAAAACCAAAAACGCATGCCAAAAATAAAAAAACAAAAACCGGAGGGGGCGCACAGAGCGCGACACGTGGCGGCAGCTGTGGCGCGCTCCCACATGTGCACTCTTCAATTAGTTACAAAAGGGACGGGGACTTAAATCCTGCAGCGGCTAGGATTGGGGAGATCGAAGGCGGCTGGATCCTACAGTGGGGTCATCGCAGGCCTATCGGGACAAACGGGTGCAGACCCCCTGCGGTGGTATCGACGACCAAGCCTCTGTTGGCGGTGTCCTCCGTACTCAACTAGTTACAGATCCAGAAACAACCATTGCCATGGCCGACCTCCACCACCAGATTTCGCGGCCGGTCGTCGACTTCCACTGCGCCGCCACCAAGAACTCACAGCCTCCTCGCGCATCTCCTCTGTCCGGCGTCCAGGAGCGCCGCGACCCTGCGCTTCCCTCCGTATGAACCGCCTCGGCCTTGTGCATGCAACGGAATTAGCATGTGCCTGCCAGGCCGTGCGGTCACTGGCCGATGAGTTTCTGCAACAACGACTGAGTTGCAAACGGCGACGACGTGGTGTTGCGACATCATGTTTCATTGCAAAGTTTTTTGCAACATCGTCCGTGTTGCAAAAGGATTCCTGAAACATTATCTATGTTGCAAAAAAAGTGCGTACATTTTCTTTCTACGACACAACCTTTTTTAAAAAAGAAAAAATCTCGTGACAATCTATGTTTCAAAAAAAATCCCGTGACACAATCTATGTTGAAAAAAATAAAATAAAATTTCGCAACACAACCCCTTTGCAAATGTTTCCGCAACAAGACATTTGTTGCAAAGTAGAGCAAGACGTTCAACCGTAAGATTGTGTCAGATCTAATGGCTCGCGAGGCGGCGGGTCTTTTAAAAAGATCTGTCGGCAGATGTGCAGCCCCCCCCCCCAAAAAAAACTCCAAAAATACTTTACTACCAAACGCACCCTCAATGTGCAGCAAATTTTTACCTTGGCCTGCAATCGAGTGACCCAAAGAAAAGTGGCTAGGGTTTCACGCCATCGCCGTAGCCGTCGCCTCCCACCGCCGCTGCCTCCCATCCCCGTCGCCACTCCACACCGCCGCCCCTCAGCCAACCCCGACCACGTCCTCTGCGCCTACCGTCTAGACAAGCGCCTAGGGTTTCACGCCGCAGCCATCGCCGTCGCCACGCACCTCCCTCCACTGCCGCCTCCACCCCCCTGACCACGTCCTCTGCCGCCTACCGTCGCCTCCGGAAACGTCTCCTTCGCCAGCAGATCGACGCCGCCGCCCAGGCCCAGCTCGACCTCCTCCCTCGTCCCGCGGCCGTATAGTTTGATCGAGATGCTGCACGAGAAGCCCGTCCAGATTGGCCAACTGGCCGATGATGGAGATGCGGCAAACAAGGCGTGGACAGGGGAGAAGAGGCGCCGCAACGTACCCCCGTCATCATCCGATGCTCCTGCCACTGCCCAGGACCATGGAGACATGGAGGACACAATCCAAGGGGGTCAAGATCCGATTCCTCATGCAGCAGACATGGAACCGCTGCTCAGAACAGATTCGGCGCAAGAAACAAGCCAGGATTGCTTCGGGCCGGACGTCCTTATCAGCGAGGAAGACGAAACCCGTTATGCTCAACTTTTGCGTCCCAACATTCCTCTTCCTCGTATGGACCTGCCACTTTATATGACATGGGAGGAAGAAGACAAGATAGAAGCGCGCCTTGGACGCCTTCGCATCACTTATTACAAGGTACCTACATGCTGTATCAATCAGTCACCGCTCACTTCAATTCACGTATGTCTTTTAAAATTTGTAGTTGTGTGCCATAGTAGCAAATCCAGCCCTCTGGTTTGGTATGTGTGGATGATTTTTTTCATGTTTTTATCACCTATGTGTAGGCTGTGAAGCCGGAGTGCGCACGTGAACGTGAGCTTAAGGAACCAGAAGAATACACTGATGCTGAACTTGGTAAGGAGTTGTACTTTAAGCGGTTAGAGGAGGATGAAAGTTTTGAGTGGTTCGTCCATCCTGATGATACCTATAAGGCTGGATTGAATGACTACCAACGGATTGCCCCTCGTAATTTTGTAAGTGTACTGTCTATATCTACATCTAGTCATCCAGTTGACTACTTTGGTTATTATTATCATAATCATGGGTGTTCAGAAACTATTTCAACACACACCGTGAAATCCGGCAATCAGTAAGGTAGTTCATTTTGCTTCATTGGCTCCAACCACAGCTGCAACGTTAGTATAAAAAGTTAAGCCATGAGTTTGTGGTACGAGTTAAAACTGTTTTCGAACAGAAGATGATGATTGTATGACTGGCATCACCATATTCTTTGTTGTGGTTTATGAACATTGAGTTTGTATCTATTGCCCTTGCTTTGTGGTCACCGATGGATGATAGTACTTGCGGTGTTGGATTTGAAAAGTTTGCCAGTTCTTTTCTGTTTATTCAAACTTCAGACAACTCTAGGTGCTGATTTTTATTAGTGTCCCCTTAAAATTGGTTGCTTCTTAGCCATTTCATATTTAACCTTAACTCGCAGTGAAGTGCTACGAAGTGTATCCCACATTCCCACTTGGTTCTTGAGCCTCCTTGATTTGCCTTGGTTATAAGGCTGAGGTTCAGTATTAGATCACAAAAATATCATGATTTCAATGACCGTAGGGAGCAGTCGAAGGCTCAGAGCTATGTTACCTTGTATGTTTCCACAAACATTGCTATCTTCAAACTTCTAATCTCTTTGATTTCGTGCCGGTAACTTTGGCTACTGAAATTAGTTGACATTTGAATTGCTTCTGAATTATATGATGACGGTGTCTCAGTGGATTGACTTGTTAAAGGTCATTTGATTATATATGGACATGGTACTATTTCTAGCAAGCCAGACTTTACTAGGAAAAAATGTGGATCCTTAGTCAGTTACTTCTGTAGACAAAGTATGTCATCTCACTTCAATGTAGCCATTGTGGGACTCTTGTTCCTTTTCAGACATTTCATCTAATTATCGTTCTTTTTTTTGTAGCTGCCTTATAGCGGTCGGAACCTGTACCGCTATCACGATGAGTACCGCTCACGTTATCATACATATAAAATTGATGCTGTTTATGTCAAGTATTATGCAGAAATTTCAAAGAAAATCAAGGTATGCATTATGTGATCAATCTGTTGGAATTAAAAATACTACGAGTGGCTGGATCGTTTTTAAAGTGATAGACTTCTATCTTGCAACAGTGGATTACAGAGTATTTGCATCTGGGTCGCAGCACCAAGGAAGTAAGTATGCCCCCCAGGAAATCACGAAATTAGTCCATATACATACACATGATGATTAACTTCTTTTCACTTCAGTGGTTTGACAAGGATACTAGAGCATGGAGGCAAGCATTGAAGATTGCAACTGGCTTTCCCCATATGACTGTTCGTTTAGCTGCTTTTGCTTATAATGTAAGATATCTTGTCTTTTGCTAATTGAGGCGTTGATCGCTGGTGTTAGTAACAATCTGGTCAATTTGATTCAGGAGTGCATTCTTGAGATGGATAAAGATGCGTCCCTCAAGGACATAGATCTTCTCTATTTCGAGATCTGGAGGCGTGTCGCTAAGAAAAATGTTGGCATCCTACTTCATCAAACATTTGTGTAATAGAGCACTACTGACATGCTTTGTGATTATGCGTCTTTCTTATGGTTTCACAAATATTTCAGTTAAGTTATATGGATGCTGTGAAGGAAGTATATGAAATGGACAAGTTCGATGTACACAAAAGGAGACTAGATGGTGAACTGAAAGGGGTTCCTGCCATCGCAACAATAAAAGAATACGTAAGTTGGTGTCTTAATTTGGGGCTGTTGTGCAGATTTGTATGGCCCCCTAACTGTGACTTTTTGTTGTCAAAAAGAAATATGCAACATATTGCCAATATCTAATTTCATCTGTTTATCTTTCTAGATGCACTATGTTGTCCGACAAGGTGGCATTGACGCGAAGGTAAGTAGGGTACTGTAGGTTTGACATGGTGATACATATTTAACTGCAATATGTTGCTGATATTGATATGGCCTTTGTGTAGACCGAAGAGGATAAAGCTCGGGATGTGTTTAGGAAGTTATCTGTCAGTATGGTATTGGCTTGATGAATCCTCTATGATTATTTGTTTTGTTTTGAGGAAAAACCCTCTGAATTTATATGTGGCCATGATTGTTGTTTGTATATAACTGGTTCTCTTGTTCAGCATAAAGCAATGAACATGGCTCAGTACGCTCAGAAAAAGTTGGATTTAGCAGATGAGCTGAAGTTGGACAAAGAGGTATGCTAATAACTGTATTTATTGTCAAAGTAACGTTGTGTCCCGAGATTTAAGGGAAAAAATAAATAGAAATTTATGTGCACACACTTTTGCAGGGTGGAGTTGTTCCATTGGAAAGACCTTTCGAGTTCTGAGTAATGGAAAGAAGAGATTTGTCACTTTTGGCCTGAAATGAGTGTATTATCCATTATCTCATCTGACAGCAAGACAGAACTACTATAATGATTGTATTACATAAGCAGCCCATCAGTCTGAAATTGTGGATGATGCTTGGATTTAGTTTACATTTGTGGTTTCTGAAAACAAGGGAGTGCTTGGTGGTCAACGAGGTCACCTAAGTCGTAATCCTAATACTTGCAAGTTTAACCGTGGTAGAGGACAGTTGTATGAAAAAGGTGGACATAAAGTTGTAGAAGCAAAGTGGGCTACGTTGTCAATCTGTCAGCAGTGGAAGAGGCGGCATCAGACTTGGTTCAAATTTCAGCCAATGAATTAGAGGAGCCAAAGCTGAAACGGAGGTTTAAGGATTGAAGAAAATAGACGAAAAGAAAGGAACTAGCAGTGACAACTTTGCAAATCATGCTCGCTCAGATCCAGGTACATCAAATCAAGCTCTGACATCCATACGGAAATCCAGCTCAAAACGGACACTATATTCGGGTGCATCTATGCATGTCACAGGCTTTTCAAGTGAGTTCGTATCGTAGAATTCATACCCAGACACACTTACAGAAGATGGCACAATCTTTGGCACTTCTGTAGTTAATTACACTCCAATCAAATTACATTATCTTCGGTTTTATATGTTCCCTCCTTTTCAGTTTAACTTGGTCTCAGTAAGCTCTTTGGTTGATCACATGAATTGTCGGTTCTCTCTTGATCGTGAAAATTGTTTGATCTAGGAGAGACTGATTGGAAAGAGACTTGGGATTGGCATCAGGCATAATGGGCTATAATCTTGGACAGAAACACAATGGATGATGTAGTCTGCATTGCATTGATTTGATGGTTGTTGCAACTGAAGAGGAGGGTAATTCAATACTTGTACATTGTCGGTTGGGGCATGTTTCTTTTAATTCAATACTTGTACATTGTGGGTTGGGGCATGTGTCTTTTGATACTATGACGAAAGTATTCCCAAATGTAATGTGTAAGGCTTTGTTCGATTACACCTCCTGTCAACTCCCAAGGGGATTGGAGGGGATTTGACTTAGTATATGAGATTTAATCCCTGACAAACCTCTTCAAATCCATGTGAACCAAACACAGCCTAAGGTGGACAAAGCTAAATTAGTATGCGATACATGTGAGTTTGAGAAACACACAAGGTGGGCTCCGTAGTGTGCTATACGTGAGTAGGGGGCTCCGTGTTTTCCTTTATGTTAATCCACTCAGATGTGTGGACTTGTCCACTTGTTTCTATAAGTGGAATAATGTATTTTGTCACCTTTATTGATTATTATTTGGCATGACTTGGGTATATCTCTTATGGAACATAATACTGAGGTGCCTCAGTGCTTATAAGATTATTTATGTGAATATGTTTGACATATGTTTAACACGCATGTTGAGACGATCTCAACTGGGAGAGAATATGCGAATACAAAATTTAACAAATTTCAAGCTGGCTTGACCATAGAGCGGGCGCATGCGCACTTTAGCGCTATCATGGCGGAGGAGCAGCCGATGTTAACAGCATTTGCTGCCGGAGGGCCAAATTTATGGTGAGCTCGCGAGCGAGGAGGCCGAGGCGGCCATGGTCGCGGAGAACACCAACTTTGTAGCCGAGAAGCAGGCGCTGTAAGATGCGCCGCCTGCAATGCGGTCACCACATAGTCGGACGCAGAGGCGCTGGCGGTGCAGGGAATCGCGGTTGAGAACGTCAGCAGCTTCGTGCAAAGTTCGCCCAGCATGTTGGAGTCCGGAACACCTCCAGCTGCACGCTCACTCTTTCTCTCTCGGCAAGAACGCAAGGAAGAAGAAGAAGAACAGTGGAGCACACAAAGTATTTTCCGGCGACGAACGCCTGCATCTTGACCTATTATTTCTCTGGACTCCCATGAAACAAACGCGTGAGTACGTGTGCTTAAGTAGCATACGGGCACACACAAGAATGCACTCAGCTGTGGAGCAACAACCTGCCCAGATTTTGTGCCACTCACGCACTAACCAACTAACCGACGCATGCACTATCCGGCCACCACATGAGGCCACTAACTAACCATGCACACACACGCACTAAGCTCAGCTCTCCTTGATTCGCTCCAACGTTTCAGGGCAATGTACAATGGTTGATAAGATAGTCTTATCTTAAATTTTGCATGTAATTTAGAGATGACAAAAAAACATGTCTACAATGAGTCATCTCTTAGCCTTATCTTCCCTAACTAATTATTCCTAAAAATATGATGAAACATATTGTGCTAAGAGATGATCTCTTATCTTCTCTGAAATAAGAGAAGGCAAGTCTTTTCTTATGATTTCTCTCTCCTCCACCTCATCATTTATCCTACGTGGCATTGCTAAGATAGAACCATTGTACATGCCCTAAGGACTAGGCCTATCACGCAGCTAACAAACTCCATGCATGCTGCAACTACTTGCCAAGCCATGGCGCACACCATTGCCTGACCTAGACTGCGCATGGACTCACGCGCCACCGGGGCATACACGCACGTATGTGTTATAGAGCCGAAAACATACCTATGGACTCGGCACGGCCGCGAACCAGTGCCCGGCTCGACCAGCACGCACACTGGTCAGCACCACCGGGGCTTATTCCAACAAAGACTATGTGTCGCTGTGATTTAGTTTTCAGTATCGATGGTCAGATGTGCAGCATCGTGTGCATGTCGGGCGCAGAACGCAGTTCGCAGAGAACGCTGCAACACAGCCGACGAGTTCTGGACGATTCGCAGATGATGTAGCGAATCAGGCCGTCGATGCATGGATCAGAAGTGACCGGCACCGTTGAATCCTCCAAACGTCCACAGTTCGTCCGGAACTGTCGTCCGTACAACAATTTCTCAATTAAGGACAGTATAACCGCACCTAAAGTGAGCCCTCACAACGAATTGGGTTTTCGGCCGTCCGTTTTATCGATTTGGCCGTTTATGTCCGTCGGATGCGTGTGGGGCGCTGCTTGCGTGCTGTCCTAGGGTCAGCTACACCCGTGACCTTTTTGGGCACCTCTCCTTGATTGGGCCAGTAAGCGAGCGGCCAGGCCAAGCGGCCCACCGGGTAGGGAGCAACTCCCTTCGCTCCGTACCCTGCCGACTGCCTTCCACGCCGCAACCCCTCAGTAATCTTATCATGACGGCGGCGACAGCGGCGACCACGTGGAACAACGCCCCAGCTTTCTCCCTTTGCATCGTTCGGGATCAGCACCGCGGCACCGCGCACGATGGGCGCACCACAGTGCCAGTGTGGCGTCGTTTCGGGCCACAGCACGCGGAGTTCCACTTCCTGTCACGGTGGCACCCCAACCCTCCCAATCTGATTGTCGCCGCCGCCACGAGAGAGAGAGAGAGGGGATGGCAACTGCGACGGCGGGTGAACTCCTTCTTTTCCATGGTTCCAAACTCTCAGAGAAGTCAGGAAACCTATCGCTGCCCGCGGCGGCGAATGGTGATAGGCAGGAGACAGACTGTGCATGGCGCGGCAATGAGATCGACGGATCTCAAGCGGCCTCCACAACAATCTTGCCATCCCCTGCAGTTGCGAGGAAGAGCAGTCCTCTCACCACACACCGATTGTCCATCCCCACTGAGGTCAACCAGTAGGAGAACGTACTAAATAAGAGCAGGTTCCATCAGATCACATTCACCTCCTTCCATTTTGCTGTTCTTGCTTTTCTTTGTTGTACAAGCCAATATATTCAGCATTTGCCATTGTTTGTGGTTCCTAATTAATCTTGGGCCAAATGGAAGAGTACCAATTAAGCTGCACACATTCCCTGGGCTTCGTGAATGCCTATTGCTGTAATTAACTCATTGCCTTTAGTTGGAGTAACCTAACTTTGCCAACCATTGGTACTCATTGCCTTTACCAACAAAGTCTGACAAGGCAGTATTCGAGGGAGTGTAGGAGGCAAAGGGCATGCTCTCCCTGACCCTCTCTTTTTAGAGTTGATAATGTGAGCACACAATTTGATGAAATATAGAATTTCGGTAGTACAATTGATATGTCTTTAGATAGGTGTGCGTCCGCCTCTTTTGATCAAGGAAACGAACACCATATGCGCTGTCGCTACTGTTTCGCCTCCGAGTTCATGTGTTTATATCCAAGATGTGACCATTACCTTGACCCCCCTTTTCCCTGTCAACGGCATCGATACCAGCAGTTGGTTCAGCGGCAGATTTCCTGTCGGTACGGCTGCTTCCGTTAACATCAGTATGTTCTGTTATTTGATGATTGTGGATTTCTGTATGAAGATGCATAGGCACGTACAAGTTTTGATGCTCGGTTTGTAGGAACTGTGCATGCTGGTTATACAATTGTCTCCACACTATTAGGATCTGAACCAATGAGCTTTATACATTGATGTTGAATCCTCTTACGGATTAGCTTTTGACGCAAAAGCTGACAGTAAGTGTTGTATGACCTGTTCAAGAAATCAACACCATTGTGATACAAGACGGGCTGATTAACAAGGATAGTGGATAAACACTCATCTCCTTTAAAGTAAAAAATATTGTTCCTCTGTTGGTACATTTTTGTGTGTATGATCGCTGATGAATAATCTGAGTTGTGATTCTTGTGTGTTGACATGGTGTAGGAGGAATTCTGGCTGGCGCTTTTCAAGATCAGTAAGACCGAGAGTTTGCTGATCGTGTAAGTCTACATTGCGCGTGTATACACGGATTTGCTGTTTGTATTGTACAACAAAAATGTATTTCTGTTTTTTTGTACATAATGTAATTATTGTGGAGTCACTCTCACTCTTGTTTTGGCATATTACTTGGATATCGAAAATAAAGAACACACTATTTAACATTCTGTAAGAATCGTTTGCAGTGGACAAGAGGAATCATTGTACTCAACAATCAACTCTCTTTTCCTGTCAGTGAGGACCATAGCATGGACTTACTGTAGCAGGTGCCATTAACGTCCATACTCCATCGTTGTAACCGGTGTTCTTGTGAAGCTTACCATAGAACATATGTTTCAGGTACAAATTTGTTGGCTCAAGTACCATCGGAAATTTCTTAGGACTATTTGTGTCTCAATGTTTTTCTATTAACATCCGGCATGCATGTATGCCTTTTATTGGTTGGATGGATAACCCAACTAACTAAGGAGCCGACTCTTTTTTTGCTAGGCTCTGAACAATGTAAATAGTATTATTCACTAACATTGATTGGAAAGGTATGTAGCATTCTTTACTTTTTGAGTTAAAAATACTTTAATTCTGATTTTGAAATTGTGCTAACATTGACTTTAATTTTCATTTAACACTGCACTATGACGTATGTTGTTGGATTCAAATGTGGATTTTCACATTGATAACTTCATAGTTGAACAACTTGATGTGGCTGGTGCAACCAAAAGGAATCCATCGATCTTTGACGTTCAATTCAGACGTACGTTAGTTGGTGAGCGATTGTCTGCCTTCTCCATAATATTATTGGGCAAAATCTCTCGTGCACTACTGCTCTGAACTAGAATTTGCTCTGATGCTTCATGTTTTCAATTTCATTTAGACCGAAGTGTTGGAAAATCAGATCATCTGCCCTCATGTATCATTTGTATGTGTGGGAAGCTTCCTGTTGTATTATTACTTAGGCTTAGAATGTAGATTTTTATGCAAATGTTGTTGTAAACCAGCTGTTGAGTGACTTAATTTTGGCCGGCTTTTCACATCTTATTTTATGCAATTGCTCGCACCAATTGAAGCCCATTAGACCAAAGAAAAAATGTGTACTGCCAAACTAATCAATACTTTCTTTACAAGCCAAATAAATTCACCATTCATCTCTCTTATGCTAACAAATATATGGATCATATCTGCAAATGTAATTAAAGTTCATGATTCATGTCTTTCTATATATATTTAAAAAATCCAAATAGATGGACGCAGCAACGCGCGCCATCAATGATCTAGTAGGCATGAACAACCAACCCAATGCAAACGTAGACGTACGTGCTCGTATCGAACTCAGATATAGAAAACCAACTCGTTTTCAAAAGCACGACGAAGTACGTAGTATCCCTTGACTTAACTACAAATCGTACACGGATACTAATGATTCTTTTTATTTAATTAATGGAAACACGGATATGAATTCTAACATGACTCAAACTAGTACTACTACTCTAAAGTACAAACCAAATAGGGCTGCACACCAATACCAAAATCACTAATTCAGGAGTACTCATTCTGGTGTTATATGTATATGAATCAAGGCTGCACACCAATACTGAAATCACTATTTGAGCAGTACTCACTGTAAAGATCACTCCCACCTTTCCGGCTTGTGACAAGTGGTGCGCCGCATGTGCGCCACTTATCGCAACCAGGGAGTTTTTCCTTTTTTTCATAGATCCGTTTATTTAAAACGTTCTATCTCTTAAACGTGCGTCCAAAACTCGAGCCGTTTTCACCGTTGGATTTCTCGTGTCGAGATCTTCAAAACTAAATATCATGTACATAGGTTTTGATGAATTTTTTTCACGAAAAAAACCGGACGAAGAAAACCAGAAGAAAAAAGAACCAAGAGCACGGGTTTTTTCCCTTTCCGAAAGAGGCACGCCCGTGCCTCTCATGAAATCACAATCGTGCCTCTCACAGAAGAAAAATCATGCCTCTCGCGGAAGCAAAAAAAAGAAGAGAAAACGCGTCTTTTTCGTTTCCGAGGAGGCACGACTGTGCCTCTCGTAAAAGCACAACCGTGCCTCTCGCAAAAGCAAAATCGCACCTCTCGCGAAAGAAAAAAAACAGAAAACACGTTTTTTCCGTTTCCGAGAGGCACGGCCGTGTCTCTCACGAAAGCAGAACCATGCCTCTCGCGGAAGCAAAACCGTGCCTCTCTCGGAAGGAAAAAAAACACAATTTTTTTTCCGTTTTCGAGAGGCACTGCCCTCTCGCGAAAGCACAATTGTGCCTCTCGCGAAAGGAAAAAAAATAGAAAACGTGTTTTTTCCGTTTTCGAGAGGCACCACCGTGACTCTCGCGAAAACAAAACCGTGCCTCTCGTGAAAAAAACAAGCTTTTTCGTGCAAAAGTAATTTTTTGAATTTTTTTTGGTCTAAAAGTTAAAGAAGACCGGTGGAAAACCGAAACGTCGAAAAACCCCAAAAAAATTAATTTGAAAAGCCAAACGCATGCGGAAAGATAAAAAAACAAAATCCGAAGGAAGCACCCAGAGTGCGACACGTGGCAGGCGGCTGTTGAGAGCGCATCAAATGGCGCTGATTGTTGTGAGGCTCCCGAAGGAGCGCTCGTCAACTAGTTGCTCTTCACCAATACGGTCGAATCAACAAGAGAAGAAAAATACGCCTCTTGTACATGGGCCTGGCCTCTTCGATTCTACAATGGTGCTTCTTGAGCGGAAGATCCTCCACATCGTGGTTGGCAGCCTTCCTGATCAAGACAAGTGCGCCCGCTGCCGTACCGACGGCTATGTCCGCCGTCCATGGTGCACAGCCGTGGGCGGCCATGACCCCATAGCACGCCGGCTGCCTTGGATCGCCGGATGGGATAAGTTCATCATCGCCTCCTACAACAGCCACACCCACCCCCTCCCTGACAACGCCACGTGCGTTGGCTCCCCTGACCAGTGGCTCGCTCTCGACCTAGGACAGAAGCACACCAGAGACAACGAGGAGCAACCGCAGTACTACATCGTGCGCAACTATGTCCTGCATGATCCTTTCTCAAATAGGCCCCTGCTGCTGCATGAGCTCGACACCGTCATCGTTGATGACGGGTCTCTCATCCGTAAGTTCCTCATGCGGCCCACGGTTGATGACTTCATCGCCGTCATCACCAACAACAGGAAGCATCCACTCATTTTGTTCCAACGCGGGAAGGCTGTGTGGTCGCTGGAGCCACCCACAACTCCATATATCTTCCTCATTGGCATCGCGTTTCTTGATGATAAATTGTATGCCATCACCACAGCTGAGGACCTCATCGTCCTTGATCTTGCATTGGATGCAGACAGAAGGCCCGTGGTTGAGCGCTTGGGAGATTAGACGTGAGAACGACCGTCACCCCCGGTGATCGCCGGAAGGTGGGCGGGCGTTTTTGGGCGCTCGCGGAGGAGGATAGCGGGGATGAGGATGAAGACGGCGGGCGCTCCGGCAGCTGGACGGAATATTCACCGACTCCCTCAGATGTGATTTGTGAGGCTTTCGATCCCGGCTACGAGGAGGAAGAGGTGGCGCAGATTGTGGAGGCGGTGGTCCCCCCAGAGGATCCGGCGAGGACCGGGCTGCGTCACGGAGAGAACTTGGAGTTGCTCCGGCGCGTCGTACACCGGAGGACGGCCACGTCTGCATCTCGACCTTGGAAGGGACCAATTCCCAAGGTAAGTGTCCCAAAACTTACTCTTTCCGATTTGATTCCTCCGGAAGCGTGGACGGTGGTAGAGAGAAGGAAGAAGGGCGGCCGTGCGGTGGTCGGCCGGCAGCAGACGGCGCCGGCGGCGTCGATCCCGATAGCGGCGGCTAGGGCGGCTCGTTTGAACGCGCTGATTGGCGCTGTTGGGCCACCGGTGGTATCTGGGCCACCTTCGGCTGGGTATGAGGCCCAGAACGAAGGGGTCGCAGGTGGGCCGGTGTCCTTTGGGCCGGATTCAGTGGGGTTATCGGACGAGGCGGTCGTTTACGTGCGAGAGGCATGCAACGATCCGTCGAATCCCTCAGTTCCCGTCGTGCGCCGTAGGGTGTGCCGAGTTCCTCGTCGTCGTACAGATCGTGGGGGCCGTGCCCGTCGCATCCCACCGCTGTTCATGGCGGGTCGGGGGAATGCGGGGAAGAGCGCGGCTGAGCCGGCTGGGTCGGCCCGTGCCGATGTGCTCCCGCCGCCTGTCTCTGGAGGCGGCCGTGGTGTGGAGGTGCCACCGCCGGCAGTGGGTTCTGGCAGCGGTGTCGGCGTTATTGCGGCAAACCGTAGCGTGCCGCTGGCGGGTCGGGGCGTGGCGCCTCGTGCTCCTGGCCGCGGGGCTGGAGCTCCCGGATTCCACCCACCGGCCTCGGCTCATGTCGTGGCAGCGGGTAGGGGAGGCTTCGTCCGCCCGCCAGCGCCGGCTCCCCTTCCTGTTTTGGGACGGGGCGGTGGCCAGGAAGCTCGGCCGCCTGTGCAGAGTCCGGCGGTGCAATCTGGGACTGCGGCCGTGGGGCGGGGTGTTGCGCAGGTAGTTCCTCGTGCCGCGTCGCTGCCTCACTATGTCGCGGGTCCTGTTGGTCCTCGGCCTCCTGCGCCGGGTGTGGCTCCGGATGGACGCGGTGGTACTGCCCTTGTGGCAGTGCAGGCGCCTTCGGGCGGTCCGCCCCGTGTTGCTCCTCAGCCGCACGACGAAGCAAGGCCGGCTCAGAACCACATGGGGCCGACACAGGCGAGGCAGAATTCTAGCAGAGTTTCACATGATCCACCCCGAGGCCAGTGGGGGGATGATGGGTACGATGCATTTGGTGATGGACAGCACCGAGGGTCCTCTTCCACGGGAGGAGGCCGTGGACATGCCTGGCAGAGTGACGGGTCTGCTGAGAGACCGTTTCTTGGCCTTGCAGGCGGATTTGTTGAGGGGGCCTCATGCCCGGACCACCGACAGAGAGGAGGCTATCGTGGCTATCGTGGTGGCCGGGGCGGGGGCCGTGGGAGGTTTCGC